AACCTTCTTAGAGGCTCTAGGTATCTTTTTCTATGCAGATGAAACCTTCTCGGTGGTCCCAACCGTCTTATTTAACAATCTGAAACCGTCTCGGTGATGCCAATTGGTCTTTTCTCGAGAAGGTGAAACCTTCTCTAAAACCTCATCCGTCTTTTTTTAAAAATTTGAAACCTTCTTGTGGATCCTAACTGTCTTTCTTTAAGAATGTGAAACCTTCTTGGGGGTCCCAATTGTTCTTTTTCAAGAAGGTGAAACCTTCTCGGGGATCCCAATTGTTCTTTTTTAAGAAGATGAAACCTTCTCGGAGGCCCCAACCGTCATTTTTTAAGTATCTGAGACGTTCTCGGTGGTCCCGAATGATATATTTTTCTTTAAGAAGGTGAAATCTTTTCGAGGGGCCCAAGTACTATTTTTTTAATGTGGAACCTTCTCGAGGGTCCCAATTGTTCTTTTTTCTTTTTTCAAGAAAATGAAATCTTCTCGGGGACTCCAACCGCTTTTTTTTTAAGAATCTGAAACCTTCATGGGGACACCAAGTCTCTTTTTTTAAGAAAGTGAAACCTTCTCGGGAGTTCCAATTGTTCTTTTTTCAAAACGGTGAAATCTGAAGTGTCTTATTCTTATGAACCTGAAACCTTCTCTGTGGCACCAATTGTTTTTTAATTTTTCAAAGAACCAAATATTCTTGGACTGTACCTCAAGGGCGGGCAAATTTCTGTCGAAATAACTTTCGACCATTTTTTTCTAGATTTCCACATTACATGTGATGCCGTGGTTACAATTATTGCAGATATTTCGAAATCACCCTGTATATGAATTGGCCTCCAGATCAATTGAATTGGTTGGCTGTAGCAAATACATAGATTACTGGCGCACTGATGTTCCCAACTGTTACTGTTAAATTTTTTACTTTTAATTTTCACTGTTCCTATATTTACCTCAAGGCTGTGTCCTTCATAACCGGGGAAAATTGTGTAAATTACTCACATTTCGCACGTTAACATTTGCTTTAGTAGAAAGCCCCTCCCACGACGACATTAAAAATTCTTTATTGTCAAGTTTTTAATTCCCTTTGTGGGATTTGGACTACAAAAGAGTAATCAGTCAGCGACCTCCAACATAGCCACAAATTGTAATCCACAATCAGCTTTAGATAATTATTTAATACGTGTTAGCAACGATGATTAACTGACTACTTGTATAGCAACTATTTGATATTTTAACCAGAATTGTGGAACCTTAGAGAAACTCTTGTCTGCATTTTTGGCAAGAAATCTTGTGATTAAATGGATGTCCATTTTGCAAAGATAGCAATTTGTACTTAATACTTATGAAGGAAAATAAAATTCGAACTTTTCGTATTAACGAAATTAAAATAAATTAAGGGACTTTGGCAATGTGACAAACAACTGTAAGATGGCGGCCAATACTTAACCGCCACCAGCACTAAAACGTACATTTTTACTTCCCGAGCGTAAGCAAAGGAAGTATTGTAATCGAGTCCGTCGGCCGACTCTCTACTTTTACGTTTTCTCGATCTTTCATGACCCCTAGAAGACGAAGAAATAGGTCTCCCATTTCCGTCTGTCTGTCCGTCTGTCCGTCTGTCCGTCCGTCCGTCTGTCCGTCTGTCCGTCTGTCCGTCTGTCCGTCTGTTGTCACGGATTTTTATTAGACAGATAATCTCCGAAAGTACTCGACCGATTGTTGTGAAATTTTGTACTTATATTAAGAATATCATGTAGATGGTAAAACGCTAACCAAAATTTGTCGAATCATCCCCACCACTAAAGCGATGACGTCACTTCAAAATTGTACATAGTAAATGGGTTTTCAATTGTATAAAATAACATAGTCCTACACATGTAGTTTACAACTCTGAATCGACTTTTCACCCGAAACGTCCAGATTTTTGGAAAAAAAATCAAAATTATAAAACAACATTTTGAAATTTAATTTTTAATCTGCTAACCAGAATGCTTTGAAATGTTGCAGATGTTTTAAGGCTATAAAGAGCATCATAAATCTTTAGTCAAAAAATATTTGCTTATCCCCTCCAAAAACTTGATGACGTCAGCTCAAAAGTTTGTGGAATAAATCATATCTAAAATGTACAAAATATGATGAGTCTGTACTTGTGAACTATCACTCCATTAATATTTTTTGGATTTGCATATATAGGGTGACTCAAAAAAATTAATGAATGCGTAAATATATTTTATTGATTTAATCAGGAACTACAAAACCGAATGCTCTGAAATCTTGCAGATGTTTTAAGGTCATAAAGAGCATAATAAATGTTTAGTCAAAATATATTTGCTTATCCCCTCCAAAAACTTGATGACGTCAGCTCGAAAGTTTGCCGAATAAATCATATCTAAAATGTACAAAATATGATGAGCCTGTACTTGTCATTTATCACTCCATTCATATTTTTTGGATTTGCATATACAGAGTGACTCAAAAAAATTAATGAATGCGTAAATTTATTTTATTGATTTAATCAGGAACTACAAAACCGAATGCTTTGAAATCTTGCAGATGTTTTAAGGTTATAAAGAGCATAATAAATTTTTAGTCAAAATATATTTGGTTATCTTCTACAAAAAACTGATGACGTCAGCTCAAAAGTTTTCCGAATAAATCGTATCTAAAATGTACAAAATATGATGAGTCTGTACTTGTGATTTATCATTCCATTCATATTTTTGGATTTGCATATGCAGGGTGACTCAAAAAAATTAATGAAGGCGTGAATTTATTTTATCGATTTAATCAGGAATTACAAAACCGAATGCTTTGAAATCTTGGGAATATTTTAAAGTTATTATAAGCATGGTAAACTTTTGTTCAAAATGTATTTGTTCATCCCTCCTAAAAAAATTGATGACGTCACCTTAAATTTTGCTGAATAAATCCTATCTAAAATGCAAAAAATATGATGAGTTTGTACTTGTGATTTATCATTCCATTCATATTTTTTAGATTTTCTTAAGAGGTGGTTCAAAAAAATTAATGAAGTCAATTTATTTTATTGATTAAATTAAAGGCAACACTTATTATTAGTATTACACCCCAACCAACCCAATTTGGTAGACACAAAATTTGTTAAAGGAAAAACTCGGTTGAAACATAAGGGTAGCACGCTTATTTACATCGACTTTAACATTACAGACCTGCATTTGTTTTATGCGTTCACTTGATTCCGCGAATGTGAAATAGACATGTTTATAATCAACCAATTGTGAATTTCACCGTCAAGAATTAAAATAAAACCCAATGTTTTATATAATAAGCGGAAGTCGAAGCAATAAAACCGACGGTCGTTTTGTTTACAGTTTCTGTGTTTGGCTCTCACGTATGCTGTTACGCCTGTCATCTTAAATTAACAATGTTTATACATACACGATTTTCAGTTGCCTCTGATACGTAGGTATACGTGAGTAAATTGTTTCGTTATTTTATTGATTATTACAAATCAATATTCAAACGACCCAATTCATTTTCCCGAAAATTTGAGAATATAATAATTTTATTCTTAGTATTACACTACATCTATCCCAACTGATATACGTGTCCTTGCAAAAATGTTGATGACGTCATCGCAATTTTTTTTTAAATTCCCACTACAAAAATGTAATGAGAAAAAAAACACAATAGGCATGCAGTCGTCAAGTTTCCGACAGCGAGGGAAGTACTGTCTAAACTCTTTAGACCAATTTTTTAGAATAATCGTCGCACACTGTGGCTATAAATCAAAAAAACCATTGCAAAGAGCACGCAATAAAATTAAACTTCTGCTTTAGTGGACACATTTTTTCAGAAGTTACAGTTTTAGTTCAAGTCAAGTAGAAGTATAGACAAGAATTAATCCAGTCGACTGAAAAATAAAGCAGAATTTATAGACGAAACACCGCGACCTGGGTCATTTTTTCAATAATTGTTCGATTCCATCTGTTCGGTAATGGTCAAAAAAATGTTCGTGAATACAAAATTGCCGTTCTCTTCATTCAAATAAATTAAATATGTGATGGTAAAAATATTTAAAAATATTTCTTGTCGCTGAAAAGCTCCGAAAAACATTTCAACTCCCGGTATTAAATATTTCACATCGTTTAGCTTTCATTTTCAGTGCATGTACGTGTTCCATTGCTTTCCATAGCTCGAGATGCAAACGACAACAGCTACTTCTGCCAAGCAATAAAGTGATAAAGTAACCCTTACTAAACAAAGCACGTTTCAGATTTTCCTCGTATCTTTAACTAAGTCAGAGTACAGATTAAAAGTTACGTTTATATATTCCTAAAACGAAACAATAAAATCTCTATAAAATCCTTAGTAAAACAAAAGCGTTTGTAGATTATCAAGAGTGTTTCACTCTAGATAACTGCAGCAAAATTAGCACAAGCAGACAGTAAGTAACAACAAAAAATCTATTGTTATTTGTACAATTTAATTAATATACTACAACAATATTGTGATAAAAATTCAGTCAGTTTTATTCTTCATGAAAATTTTAGTGCGGTAGAAATAGAAAGTCATAATAAACCTCCTTCGCTACACATTAGTGGCATTTTCCATTTAACTACAATAAACAAAACCATCAACATTAACATTATATCACCCAAGTAAAATTAATTGGACTCGCAAGTTATACTATCTTCATTAAATTAAATGCAGCTATAACAATTTCCTAAGATTAATTATTACGTTCATATAAACTCGATTTCGACGTGAAGTCATGTGAGTGTTTAAACTTGAGAGTGATGATATTGGTTGTGGAACAAAGTAAACGGGCATTCGTCTTAGGCATGCTACTCGTGACATACATTTGGTAAAGTGCCAAAACGACGCCGGTTTAAGGGTGCATTAATTCTTGTTGATCTTAGTCTGTTTTTTGCTGTCTGTAGACGTATCTTACGTCAAGCAGAAGGAAAAGGGTTAGCGGATCATGTTATGCTTAGTCGGTTGGAACGAAGTTATAATTTAAAGATTTTTAGAGGTCGAAAAAACACGCGCGGAGTAAGGTCGAGGCGAATGCCGAGTTGGAGGCAAGACGAGTAAAATAAATACAAGCTTCACATAAACACAAAATTGGTTGTGTGGTTTTAGTTTAAAATTTGTAATAAACAACAAACCTTGAGTGGCTTTAATTTTCTAGGCACCCTTAATAGGAAGTGTGTTTAGTGTACACCCACGAGTCGAGTTAATTTAGATGAGTATATCATACATTGAAGAGCTTAGAAGATGCGGAACAATTAAGTACTGTGCCAGACGCTACAACAAAATTTCCGAGACAGTTTCTTGCACCAGAGGGAAATGCTCATGACATTAACATCCTTGAAATACAATAATCTGCGGCTATAATCCATGAACCGTTTTTTGTTGGGTACTGAAAAGGACACTGCACGTCTCAACCAGTGGGGATAAATGTAGTGGATAAATGAGTAATATACTGGTCATTGTTTCAGGAGGTGTTCAGTTTCACTAACAGCTGACGCTGGTGCTGTAACTGCTACAGAGTTGCTGATTTGAATCATTTTCGCGTAAAAATAACAAAAAACATTCTATGTGTATAAAAGTAAAAATGTAGGCCAGATCAGCTAGGTCGGGTCAGATCAGGTCAGGTCAGGTCTAACCACACAATTCGTTACATCACCAACATACTTAACCTCAAGTCTGTATCACAATACGTTATGAAGAGGATGGAATAATTGGATAAGATATGACGTCATCAAATTTTTAAATAGTTTGTAAGATTTCACAACATTGGGTGGTGGAGTTTCCAATTTAAATCGTAAAGCATTTTTTTTCCCCAAAAATCTGAATCTCTAAGGCAAAATATTCGGGTTGATTAATAAAGCAGAGATATGTCATACTATAAAATTTAAATAAGATTTACTTTGCATAATTTTGACATGATACCATCAGACAACAGAACCAGAAAACCTATTTTCATACTCTTGGACATACGAGAAAACATTAAAGTAGCCAGATGGACTCTACAACTATACCTCCTCGGCTGACAATCGGGAAATAGAATCTATTAAAACACTGTTTTAGCGTTTTAATTTTCTCTTTTTCAAAAATCAAGGCGGATTCATGAAGCACAAGTATAAAAATATGTTATATCAATCATAGAAGTATGTTGTTTTATAAAACGTTAATAGGATTTACTATACAACATTTTGAGGTGAATCAAATTGTGGGATCAACAGACAAACAGACGACAGAAAGACAGGCAGACAGACAGACAGACTGCCAGATAGATAGAAGACAGACAGACGGCCAGGTAGACGGAGGACAGACACTAGCGCGACAGACAAACAGATAGATAGGTAGAGGACAGACAATAGACACATGACGGACAGACATGGAAGAGACTACAAACAAACGACAGACAGACAGAGAACATACAGACTAACAGACAGACGAACAGAGGACATACAGACTGACAGATAGACATAGGACAAACGACAGATGAACAGAGGACATACAGATAGAAGAAAGACAGAAGAGAGACGAAAGACAGACGGACGAGAGGCGGAAGTCAGACGAAAGACAGTCGAAAGGAAGGACTGAAGACAGACAGACAGAGGACAGAAAAGAGGCAGACGACAGGTAGACAAACAGAGGAGATAGAGAAAACATATAGACAAAAAAAGAGTTAGATAAGACAGACAGAGAACAGATAGACAGATATAAGACAGACAGAGAACAGACAGACACACAGAGGACATAAATAAAGAAAGACTGACACACAGAAAATAGTCAGACAGGCAGGCAGATAGACAGACCGGCATACAGACAGACAGACAGACAGACGGAGGACAGACGAATGTTTAGATAAATAGAAGAGTGACAGACAGACAAACAGACAGACTGCTAAACTGACAGACAGACCGAAGACAAACAGACTAACAGACAGAAGACGAACAGACGGCCAAACAGACGGAAGACAGATACCACAGCGACCGACATACCGGGATACATCCAAACAGATAGATAGAGGACAGACAACAGACAGATAACGGATAGACCGCGGAGAAGCTACAGATTGACGACAAACAGACAAACAAACAGAGGACATACAGAAAATAGACAAACAGAAAACATACGGACAGATAGCTAGAGGACAATCGACAGATGAACACAGACAGAACACAGACGGAAAATAAGCGAAATACTGACGGAAGACGGCCGGAAGACGGATTTAAAATGGATGGAAGACGGACGGAAAACAGACAGAAGACAAACGGAATACAAACAGAAAGGCAGACTGCCAGATAGACAGAGGACAGACAGACGGCCAGGCAGACGAAAGACCGACATTAGAGCGACAGACAAACAGATAGATATAGGACAGGTAAGAGACACATGATGGACAGACAACGGAGAGGCTACAAACAAACAACAGACAGACAGAGAACATACAGAATGACAGACAGACGGATAGAGGGCATGCAGGCTGACAGATAGATAGATGATAAACGACAGATGAACAGAGGACAGACAGAACACAGATAGAAGAAAGACGGAAAACAGATGGAATACAGAGGAAACAGAGAGGGAAAACAGGTGGAAGACAGACGGAAGACAGACGGAAGACAGACAGAAGACAGAAAACGGACAGATGAAGGACAGACAAACAAAGGACAAATAGAAAACATATAGACGAACAATAGACAGACTTACAGACAGAGGACAAACAGAGAGACAGAGGACAGATGACAAATAGACGACAGATATATGACAGGCAGATAGAGAACAGCCAGACATACAGAGGCCAACAGACGGAGAACAGTCAGACATACAGACAGATAGACAGTCAAACAGAGGACACACGAACATCCGAGGAGTGAAAGACAGACATACAAGGATATAGACAAACAGATAGATAGGGTCACATAATAGGCGGATGACGAATAGACCACGGAGGGGCTACAAACAGACGACAGACAGACAGAAAAACGGATAGACAGACAGATAAACATAGGACATACCGAAAGCAGACGAACAGAGTACATTCAGGCTGACAGATAGACAGAGAACAAACGACAGATGAACAGAGGATATACAGATAGAAGGCAGACAGAAGATAGACGGAAGACAGACGGAAAACAGAAGGAAGACAGTCGAAAAACAGACGGAAGCCAGACCGACGGACAGAAAGAAGACAGACAGAGGACAAACAGACTTACAGGCAGAGGACACACAAAGAGGCACAGGACAGACAGAGAGACAGAGGACAGACAGACAGACATACAGTGGACAAAGAGACTGACAGACAGAGAACAGTCAGATAGACGGAGAACAGACACTACAGCGACATACATGGATACGGACAAATAGATAAAGACAGACAATAAACAGATGACGAATAGACGACGGAAAGGATACAAACATATGACAGACAGAGAGGCAGCTAAACAGATAGACAGACAGACAAACAGAGGACTGATAGACGGAGAGCAAATGACAGATGAACAGAGGACACAGAGATAGAACACAGTCAGAAGACTGTCAGAAGACAGTCAGAAGACAGTCTGAAGACAGTCAGAAGACAGACAATAGATAGACAGAAGACAAACAAGAGACAGACAGAAGACAGACAGAAGTGAGACAGAAGAGAGACAGAAGACACATAGAGGATACACGGAAAATAGATAGAAGACAGATGGAAGATAGACGGAAAACAGACAAACAGAAAGAAGACAGACAGAGGACAGAAAACAGAAAACAGACAGACCACGAACAGATACACAGAGGACAGAAAAGGGACAGACGACGGACAGACAAACAGAGAACATACAGAAAACATATAGACGAACAGAGGACATACAGAGGACATATAGACTGACAGATAGAAAAACAGGCAGACTTACAGAATACACACAAAGATGGCGGACAGACGACAGATAGGTGGATAGATATATATATAGGATAGAGAACAGTCAGACATACAGACAGACAGACAGAGGACAGACGAACATCAAATAAATAGAGGAGTAAAAGGCAGACAAACAGACAGACAAACAGAAGACAAACAGACTGACAGTTAGACGAAGGACGGACAGACGGACAACAGACACTAAAGCAGCATACAAGCATATGGACAAAACAGATAGATAGAGGACAGACAATAGACAGATGACGAATAGACCACAGCAAGGCTACATACAGAAGACAAATAAATAGAGAACATTCAGATTAACACAGGAGAAACGACAGATGAACAGAGGACATACAGATAGAAGATAGGCAGAAGAGAGACGGAAGTGTGACGGAAGGCAGAGGGAAGACAGACAGACAAAGGACAAAAAACGAACAGACGACGGATAGACAAACAGAGAACATACAGAAAACATATAGACAAATAGAGGAGTTACATAGGACAGATATAGAGACAGAGGACAGACAAAAAGACAGAGGACAGATATATAGATATAAGACAGACAGATAACAGACAGACAGACAGAGAACATTGAGCCTGACAGACAAAAATCAGCCAAACAGACGGAAGACAGAGACTACAGTGATATACCGGGATACATCCAAACAGATAGATAGAGGACAGCCAATAGACAGATTACGGATAGACCACGGAGAGGCTACAAATTGACGACAGACAGACAGACAGACAGACAGACAGACAGACAAACAGACAAACAAACAGAAGGCATACAGAAAATAGACAAACAGAGAACATACGGACGGATAGTCAGAGGACAAACAGCAGGTCAACAGAGGACATACAGATAGAAGACAGGGAGAAGACAGACAGAAGGCAGAAAGAAGACAGACGGAAGGCAGTCGGAAGACAGACGGAAGACAGAAAACAGAAAGCAGACAGATGACGAACAGATACACAGAAGACAGAAAAGGGACAGACGACGGACAGACAAACAGATGACATACAGAAAACATATAGACGAGCAGAGGACATACAGAGGACATATAGACTGACAGATAGAAAAACAGGCAGACTTACAGAGTACAGACAAAAATGACGGACAGACGACAGATAGATAGATAGATATAGAATGGAGAACAGTCAGACATACAGACAGACAGAGGACAGACGAACATCAAATAAATAGAGGAGTGAAAGGCAGACAAACAAACAGACAGACAAACAGAAGACAGACAGACTGACAGTTAGACGAAGGACGGACAGACGGACAACAGACACTGAAGCAACATACAAGCATGTGGACAAAACAGATAGATAGAGGACAGACAATAAACAGATGACGGATAGACCACAGTAAGGCTACATACAGAAGAGCAACAAATAGAGAACATTCAGACTAACAGAGGAGAAACGACAGATGAACAGAGGACATACAGACAGAAGATAGGCAGAAGAGAGACGGAAGAGTGACATACAGAAAATAGACAAACAGAGAACATACGGACAGATAGTCAGAGGTCAAACATCAGACGAACAGAGGACATACAGATATAAGACAGAGAGAAGACAGACGGAAGGCAGACGGGAGACAGACGGAAGACAGGCGAAAGACAGACGGAAGATAGACATACAGAAAAGAGACAGACAGAGGACAGAAAACATATAGACGAACTGAGGACATACAGAGGACATACCGACTGACAAACAGAAAGAGGACTAACAGATTTACAGAGAAAGAGACAAAGGACCGATAGACAAATATAGGACAGACGGACGAAAACAGACAGACAAACAGAGGACATAGGGACTGGCAGATAGAGAACAGTCAGACAGGCAGACAGACATACAGACAGACCGAGAGCAGACAAATATTCAGATAATTAGAGGACTGACAGTCAGACAGACAACGGACAGACGACAAACAGGCGACTTGTCCTATTTTTTTTAACCAAGTATAATATTCAGAATAAATTGTTCTATTTAATAAAACATGCATGACAAATAGACAACAGACTAACACAAGGGTAATAAACTTGCGGAACTTTCAAGAGGTACAGATCTTTAAGGACAAATATTAAGCTTTAACACTGCACCTAAACATAAATTTACCAGACAAATATTAACGATTTTTTATTTTTCATTGTAACCACTTTCTTGCCACTAATAAATGTTGAATTACGGAAAACAGAAAGATTAAAATAACTTTATGATTCAGCGAAAAAATATATTACCTTCAAAGCGATAACACATTTTATGAGAACGTAAATCTAAACAAAACAAGTTTAGGATAGTAACAAATTAATCGTGAGACTATCGTTGCATAAATGAACAGCAGCACGTGCTTAACAAATGAAAAAAATGAAAACATTATTTTATATTAATTTAAAAATTATATTTTATTCATACAAACGAACAAAGCTGCTTTTTAAATGTACCTACACGTTAATCACTCTCTCCGTACCCTCAGTTTTTTCCACCTTGTTAATTTCACATTTAAACAAAAACATTTGGCTTTAAAAGTTCTTTTGCATTGTCTACACCCCTGTACGCAAATAATAACATGAATATTTACAACACTTTGGACTGGAGAAAATTCATGCCAGATGAATATGTCCAAGCAATTAGAAAACACAAAATTGGGATGGCGGTTATTACTATTGTATTTAATTTTTCGGAATGTGTATTTGCCCTCCCGACTAACGTCTTAAAGCAAGTAGAAAGCTATCTACACTTCATCAAATGCCGCAATATTAAAGGAGATACACAGCAGGAAATACTACTGGTTTACACAATACATGATAGGTCACTTGGAATACGTTGTGTCAGTGTCACTGTATGTCGATAAATGTCACAACGAAATTAATAGTCGTAACATTACGAGCTAATATTATCTCTTACCAATAATTCAGCAATGCGGACACTGAGATTCACAGCTGAACGACGTAGTAAAGACCGTATAATTTTTTTGTATTATTTTGTATTATTTTTTTATAAATTTATAGCTCCAATAATACTTCTCGATTAACATAGTATCATTTCTTGCTGTTGTTTCAAAGTGATAATATATCGATAAGGTAAGTCCCACAACTGTGACAAAATATTTGCACAAATTCAAAATCGGTACAAAATTTCCACCCACCAGGAAAATCCTAAAAACGATTAACTAAATCAGTAGCACGTTAATCAGCTATTAAAAAGGCAAATAAACAAATCACTCGAAAAATTTTAAGTAGATTTTTCCGGAAACACACAAAGTGTATCTTTTTAACACACCGCAAATAAATCGCTTTGATATCGCAGCTCTTCGAGCCCGGTCTGGACAAATTTGTTTTTTAACATCAGGCAACATCAATAAATTAAACGGGCCGATTTTAATTTTTAGTAATCGCTGTGTAAACATGGTACTTTATAGCGTCTGTGTGATTTCTGTGGGCGGAAAGGAGCGCTGACATGCCGTAGTTAAAAACGTAACTTGATAGAGCTATCGATATTATAAGCCGATTTACATAATTATTGTCAAAAATGCGGCGGACTTTTTGTGGCGTGGTGGCGCCACCAGGAGGTGTTTTATGACGCAAAAGCCTCTGGTGACAACGAATGAAATTTAGTAAGTCGTCTCATATTTTACGTTGAACTATGGTGACGTTACAACCCAGCTTTTTTAAAATAATGTGGATCGATAATAAATATTAGATGATTTTGTGGACACTCGGTACATGGAATTTTAGTTTTATTGACATTTCAATAAAACGCTGCTTTTGTTCATTAATTCATGGACTATTGCGACATAGACGTTAAAAATAATCTCATTGAGATTTATTTTTATCAAGGAACACTGGGAATGTATTTTTTATACGTTTTCTTTTTACTAAAAATTGAAATTATCAAGAGTGCTTAAATAAAAAATCTGTCTCTTAGTAGGGTTTTTAACATTTTGCGTTGTATCCC